AGAATAGGTCTTTAAAAGCCACTTACATGGTGTGCGTGCAGCTACTGGGTCTCTTCATGATTTTCCTTCTCTGGAGATGCTGTAGGATACTGGTAGGAGGGACTTCAGGATATGGTGGTGCCCCTGCCATTATGGAAAGAATGAGAGTAGCACGAGAACTTTAGGGTCTTCTAAAATATGAACTGAAACTAACACTGCTTTCCATCTACTTGGGCTAATTGCCTGCAAAAGGTATAGCCACAAGAAAAATACTAGATATAATACAGTCGTTCCCTAGTGATCGAGTAAGGATATAGCTTAGTAAATTTGGGGAAACTGGTTTGAGGAGTGGGGAAAGTGATAAGTTAGGAGAATCTTGAGTCTTTAAGGAAAGCAATAAAATAAGACTAAGAAATAAGACCTGTCCTCCATTCCCAATAACATCGGAAGGTGCTGCAGTTTCTCAAATGGACGAATAAATCTGAGGAAAACGTTTTTATGTTTATGCAGAATCACTCTAGAAATTATCCTTGGGATTGAAAACATCCCTTGAAATTGGCAATGTTTGGGGAACTGAAAGAAAGAGGAAGAGGGCAAAAAATGAGAAGGACAGGGAGGGAGGGAGTAGGGTATCTAGGGAAGCACCACTTTACAAGACTATCTCAGGAATCATGCTTGGATTTCATGTTAGCCCTGTTCGAACTTCAGAGTGCAACTGAAACCCTTTCTCAAAGCATATGTCACCTACCACTTAAATAAACATACTTGCATATTTGCATATAGGTACACACTACTTTGGGAATCGTCCTTACCTAGAGTCACCATCTCATAGAGCAGAATCCCAAAGGACCAGCTGTAAAAGAAACAAAGCCATCTACTTAATTTCTATTCCTGCTTATTCTAAAGAGAGTTCATTTAAATATCAGAAGCCTTAGTAAGAACTCCATAAAGAAGGCAATGAGGGAGAATCAAGGGTGAGTGTCTGATAAAATCAGCAAAGTAATAGTACCATTAGAAAGCATTTCTGTTCAATTTCCTTAGATTCTAATCTCTTTGAGGACTGGATTTATGTCTCTTCTGTATCTCAAATTAATAAATGCTTACTATTATTTGTAATCGTGTGTGTATGCAATTGCGCACACACACACACTTACCTAAATATAAAGAAATTTCCCCCTTTGCATGTTTTTCATCCTTTCCATCCCTCTCTCCTGAAATTCCAGCTTTTATTCATAGCACAAGACTAAGTGAGTTTTATCATTTATCCATTATTTTCTCAGTAGATCTAATTGCCCAAACCTTGGAAAAATACTAACAAAGCAAGCTTTATACATAGTTAGAATAGGTATTTGCCTAAGTAGTATGCCTTGAAGAATGTAAATGTCACTATTCTATAATATCATTATTAAACGAGTGATATTTTACAGTTTATCACTCCCAGATCTCTACTGAAAAACAGATGTCATTGGAGCAGCATTGGAAATCTCTTAACTGACTCATCATATTAACCAATGTTCTAAAGTCCCTCCGCTGCTCCTGACTAGTAGGACTCATGGCTAGTAGGATATTCTACATTACATCTATGTGCTTCTCCAAGCAGTTGAGTCATATGGCTATCAAAAGTCAATTGTGATTCTTTACAATCCTGTTTATGCCAATTTTACATGTAACTGTAATTATGTAATCAATTAAATATTACAT